GAATCGATCCTTGATGTCCGCATGCTTGATCTTACAATGGGCCTTCATATTATCCCTGCGCGTAAATTTTTGCCCACAAACAGGACACTCGTGACTCTGTGGCCGATGGATATTGGCATGATGCCATCGATTCGACACGATCTTGTTGCAACTAACACATCTGTATAGTGTGGGCAAAGTGCCCGATAACTGAACGAACAGGGTGGAGTAATCGATATTGTGATCTCGACGATTTGCGGCCGCTGCAGCTGCTGCTGCCACTGCTGCTGCCGATGATGTGGATCCAGTGGAACTGGAACTGGGTTGTGGGGAAACCGCTGAGGTAGCCGAAACCGAAGCTGGGGCAGATATGGCTGATCCCGATCCAGATCCTGATATTGAAACCGATACAGATCCTGATCCCGAGGCGGTTGGATAGTGTGGTGAGCCTTGCGAGTGACTTGGGGGTGGTGCTGGTGCCATTGGCAAAGGAGACGGATGATGGTGGTGATGACTACCATGGCCATGATAACTGCTTAAATCCAACTGCTGCACTGCACCATTGCTGCTCATGTAGGCCTGATTGCTGGCCACGGGTGGTGAGTAGGCAGCCTCCGCTGGGCAATCCATTAGGGATCGGTGGTGATGCGGGTGGTGTGGCGGATAATGGGACATTAGGTGTTGCTGGCGACTGCATCGTATGGCACGCATATTGAGCTCCTTGCATTTATACTCGCAGTTATAGCCACTATCCACATAAATCTCGGAACCCAAAGCAGAAGCAGCTTCCTCGTCGGGATGTGGAGGAGCGTAGACAACGGCTCTTCTATATTTTGGCGGCGCAGCATGGTAGGCTGCCTCCTTAATGTCCTCCGCCGATTCCAGATCCTCTTCTGCATCCATGTCACGATCATGATCCACTACCACCTCATCGATAATGCCACCTTGATCATCGTGCTCCCGTTCTCGTTCTCGATCTCGTTCCCGTTCTCGATCCAGTTCCCGAATCCCATCCGGATGACTTCGGTCGTGCTTACTGATAAAACACTTGACGCGACCTGCAAACATTTGCTTGGTTCATATTAGGCGTCATCACTGTGGGGGTAGGAACTGAAGGGTGGATATAGAGATGAGGAGGCAAAGGACTCGATCGCGCTTCTCTTGCATTCCATGCGCACAGTGGACTAAAAGGCCAAATGGTATTCGGGTGTGTGTATACGGTGGGTGTGGATTATGTCTAAAATTTCAACTAAGTAGCCAAAAAAAAAAAGAGGAAGGCAAAAAAAAACTGGGGTGTATATAAAGGTGTTGTTAAAAAATGTACCAATTAGGGTGAACCAGTTTTGCTTTTGGAAAGTTATTTAATAGGCAAACTCTAACTTGTTTATCCTATAAAAACAAAAAGTAATAAAATTTAGATTCTAAATTCAAATAATTTTAAAAGATTTGTGTTTTCTTGACTGATATATTTCTAAAACATTACTTTTGAAATAGCAATATAAAAGCTAATCGGAATAAGTAATACTTTTTTTAAATAAATAAAGATGAGTTTTAAGTTGAAATGTTTGTTTTAATATCAAAAATTTCTATTTAATATATATCGGCTCACCCTAATACTGGTATACCCTAAAGGACATTCTAGGTGGCAGTGATTTCTTTTTAGGGAATATGCAAGAAGAATGGAGTAAAAGCTACGAAACTAGATTCAAATGTGAGGTAATTTTTTGGGACATTTCTGGTACATTTCCATTTCGTTTCGATTTCGGAACAAACTTTGTTTTGGAATGTGTGTATAATGGCCAAAATCAGATATATATATAACGTAAGGCAATAAACACAAGGACCAGCAAGGGTAATGGATATAAGGATCGAGGCTGAGGGAAAAATATAGCGAAGCCTGGAAATCATAATATACAGATCGATCGAAGGTGGGCGTGTATTGGAAGTGGAATCAATTCAAATCAAATCAAGAGTCTTAATCATACGGTTTGGCATAGTCTGTGGAGAAAAAAAAACACAAAACAAATCAAATCAAGGCTGGACTTAAAAGCTAAGGCGGCATCGTTTCGGATCGGCAGGACTTTATAGCTCTAAGAAATAACAATTCAGCTAAAATTAAGTATACTTTGCATCAAAGCAAATCAATCAATCAATCAATCAATCAACAGTGTGAACAGTGTGAAACGGATTTTGGGATAAATCATAATTAAGTAAAAACAAAATCAATGTAAAACAACTTTGGTTTCGTGTGTCATTTTGTGGCATCAACAATTTTTGATCGGTTGGGCTTATCATAATATATAGTCTGGCATTTCTTTTTTTTCAGATCTTTATAATACATTTCTCATACACAATAATATATTGGTTTTCTTTTGTTTTTTTTTTTTTTTTATGGGATAACTTTCGTTTTAGTACTTCAATGTTGCAACAGATTTTTAGGTAAAGTTTTGATTGGTGTTTTTATGTATATTTATATATAGATATATTTCTGTTTTGGTTTTATATTATTACACTCTTTTCGTTTTGTTATATTAGCAAATTCCAGTTCTTTTTTTTTTTTTGATTTTTGTTGGTTTTTGAAGGTGGTGAGGGGGTTTTTTGGGCGCTGGGTGCGGGGGTTTTTATTTTTCTTTTTTAGCTGTAAGGTAATTCAATTTCAATTTCAATTTCAATTTCAATTTCATTTTCAATTTCAATTTCGATTTAATTTCATTCAAAATTTAAGTAATAGGTGGAGCCAATGTGCGAATTTTGTCGCTCTCCTTTTACACTTTACCGTTATGTTTTGGCGGCTGCTCTCGTTTAAACTTTTCAATAAAGGATATGTGCAACACACACAGACACAAGCATTAACGCACACACACACACACACATACAGTTACAGTACAGATAGAGAGCGACAGAGAGAGAGAGAGAGATAGAGATAGAGAGAGAATTAGAAAGAGAGTAGGCAAAAGAAAGATAGTTGGAATACACTTAGTTAGCTTGGCAGAAAAACCAATTGAAAAAACACAGACAGTCAGTTACAGTTATCTCGTTAAAAAACAGTGTGACAAAATATGGTTCAACGGATTCTTCACATCAAATCATAAATGCAGCAATGTTAGTAGAAATATCCAAAAGAGGGAAAAGTACAGTCTGTATCTGTGTGTGTTTGTATGTGTGTGTGTGTGTGTGTGTGTGTTTAGGTGAGTGTGTTTTTGTGTGGGTGGGCTAGTGTTTGTGTGTGTGTGGAAATAACGGAAAAAAGAACACATCGATTTTTGAAGCAGTTTTTATATATATTTTTTTTTGTAGTTTTTCGTAATCACACTGAAAATATTATATATTTTTTTGTTTGCTTGCTTTTTGGTTTCGTTTCCATTTCTTAGACAATAAGTTGCAACATTAAAGACGAAAAGAGATTTGGAAAAATTTTAGAGGGTTTTCATGTTTATTTATTTGGTATTTCAATTTTTCAGCAGTGAGGCATGGAAAAAGAAAATTAAAAATAATTTAATAATAAGAAAGGGAAATTAAATTGGGAAAAATTCAAACAGAAAGCGCTACGCGTGTATCTAATGAAATTATTTTGAATTTGAAATTTGTTAAATGTTTATATTGTATGATTATTTGTTTTTTTTTTTTTTTTAATATTTATAAGTGTTTTGGTTTTTGTTTGTTGTTTTTGTTGTGTTCGCCAATTGAGCTAAAATTCTTAAGTTTTTTTGTTGAATGACAACGGAGGCATTTTGTTCTAAAAGCTAATTGGATTTTGTTGTTGTTTTTGGGAATTTTTTGAACTGACTTATGACTAGTTATGGCAGCATGAAGTTTGTGAAGTCAATCGATAAGTCTTTTAAATAATACATATAAAATTAAAATAAATAAATACTTAAAACATGTATATATGTGTGTGTATGTGATGGTGTGGGAAGGTATATATATGTGTGTGTGTGTGTGTCTATGTCTATGTATAGGCGTCATAAAACATGCAACATGCGGCAAACATACGACAAAAGACTAGAATCGCAATCGAAACCACGATCCAGTCCTAGGCTAAAATGGGAAACTCATCCTAAAAGCTAGATTTAAGTATATATATTATATATATCAATATAGATAATACCATAATTTACGACAAACAACGAAATAATAAAGATATGCATGTAGAGAGATATTCTGGTAGGAGAGGTGTTGATCTGTTGCTCTAGCTAGCACTTTGGGACTTACTTCTCTTAGGATCTATCATTCGGAATAATATCGATAAATACATAGCACAAATAAAGGTACTGTACTTACAAAAAGCATACAAAATAAGTCTAAAAATTACTTGTCTCAGGGTTGTAGGAAAAATGAGGAAGGGAGTAGTTTGAGGGTGTAATTTAATGCATGCAGGAAGTCAGAATCAGAAAATAAATATATAATTTGAAGACTGATTGGTTTTATTAACAGATCAATGCGAGTACAGTATATCCTTAATCATTCTCCAATTTATATCTTTATTTTCCGATGTTTCTGGGGGCTATTTTCTCCAGGGGATTTAATCTACTTAACTATATATTAGAATAGTTTTCTCCTTTGGGTTAGATTTTAATTACTGGGCAAGGGGGCCAGAGGAAAGGAACAGAAATCAAGCTACAAATTTTCTACAATTTTCTTTACAGTTTCTCAATATGTATATAATATTATTTATAATTTTTTTTGGAAGGGTTTTTCTCGCTTTTCTTGAACGCATGGTTGGAAACAAAGTTGGTTTAACGAATACCAAAAAAAAAGAAGAAGTTGTATATATCAACCAAAAGCTAATAACAAATTACATACGCAATATATAGTTACATAAGGTAAAAAGAGAGATTCTTTTGGTATTTTTTTTTTCGAGTGCGTTAGGTATTCAAAAGCTCAGAGAGAAGAAGATTCTTTTTTGTGTGTGGTTTTTTTTTACTTGTAGTAGTAATTGTAGTTGTAGTAGTGGTGCTAGCTCGGTTCTGGCTAAGGCTAAATGGCTAAATGGCAATGTTTTTAGCGTTCGACAAACTTACCGTCAATATTGTCCGTCTGGTCCAGCTGCAGCTGTTTGGCATCGTTATGCTCATCCCGGGCATCTGCCGCTTGCAAGGCATGCTGCGTCAGCAGCGTTGACATGTCCTCCGCATGCATCTTCAGAGCAGAGCTCTGCGGTAGCAGAAATACATTTTTTGTGGAGAAAGGGTAAAGGGGATATAGTAAGTCTAAAGAAGATGCGGTAATATATATTTAAATTTCTGTTAGGGCTTGCTTAATATCTTAGGAAAGTAAAAAAGCAACCATAAACCATGCTTTCAATCGTTTTTGTTGTTAAATTTTTAATTGATTTAATAAAAAAAAAACAAAAGTCAGCTTTTTCATCCACAAATTTAAATCATAAACACTTTTTTAATAGCTATGAAAATAGGAAAGATGATTCTTTAAACATATTTTTGGAAACAAAAGTTTATATTTTGAAAAAGTGAATTATGAAATATCATCATTAGAATTTTAATAAGAACTGCAAAGGTTTCCTTTAAAAGCCTTTTTCTAACATTTTTAAAGTTTAGACTAACACCTAAGCCTCATATTTCTAAACCAATTGCAAAATGCCTTCAAACTTTTCTTAACATAATTAATTCCTTTTATTAATGCTTCTCATTTTATTGTTCATTTTTTTGCCATTGCAACAAGCTGCCTTTTTTTCTCACAGCTTCTGCCAAATTCTTAGTTTCCTAAACATAAAGTTTATATTTCGTAAATTTATTTGATTAACAAAGTTTAATGCTATGGCCTAAGGCTAATCCTGAGCGGTGTGTGTGTTTAGTATCCCTTCCGAGGACCTGTCTCTATGCCGTGTCCTTGCCAACATTTATGGTGATAATGTCGGGGGAACGTCGCTTCGTGTTGCCACCTGAACTACCACTTGGCACTGGATGTTGCATCTGTTCTTGCAGTTCACGTTCGTAGCATAGGCGATGTGATTTGCATTTGTTATGATGATTGACGATCTCCAGGCGGAAATTGGAGTTGCCTTCGACAAAGGAGGTACGTATATCGGCCAGCTCACCGCTCCATTTGCGGCAATGTCGACAGAACATGGTATTGGCCCGCTCATCGTATTGCAGCCACTCGAATTGGTACAACCAGTTGGCCCTAAAGCGACCACTTTTCCGAGAGCTTCCACCAGTGGATACCGATGCTGTCACGGCTGGGATTAGGGATTTTCCCACTGGCTGGTGCTGGTGTTGCTGCTGTTGCTCCTGATGTTGCTGCTGTGCCAGCAATCTTTGCATTGCCGAATCCAAGCCCTCGTTCTGATAATGCAGGTGCAAACTTTTCAGCTGTGCCTCCACCGCCTGGTGCAAGAGCATTTGGTGCATGGACTTGTTGCCACTGCTACCTAAGAACGCCTCTGACTTTTTCACCTACACGGCAGAATTGAGAAAATTGTGTGTGTTGGCAAAACATGGATCTGATAGAAGGAAGGATTTTCTGGTCTTTACTTTACTTTTACTTTACTTTCTTCGTTTTTTTTTTTTTTTGCTTGAGGCGCGCAGCATTGTTGAGATTTTTTCTTTTTCTTTGGCCGATATTCCGCTTCGAATTTGGAAAATTCAATTAAACGCAATTCACCAATCCTTCGTTCTGCTCCCATTTTGCTAGATTTTCATTCTATTTTCAACTTTTCTTTACTTAAATTTTAAAAGTATACAATTTCTTTTTTAATAATGGTCAGCTTGAGCGCTTGTCTCATGTATATGTTCTTGGGAAGCATTTTGCAATTGGCTAGCTTAGAGTTATAGAGATGATTGATTAACAAAAAGGCTTTACAAGAATGTTCTGTACAGTAGCTGGAACCATCGAAAGAACCGGTTCAAAAAAAGAAAAAACCTTAACAAACTAAACGATGCAGCAACAAAATCATAATTCGAAATTCAATCAAAATTTCATATACTATATGCTCTGTAACTAATCTGATCTGACTGTCTTTAACTTACCGGCAAGTAATCTGGGGGCAGGGCCACATGGTGTTCGCGATGCTGCTGCTGTTGCTGGGCGTCCATCAGCTCCTGCTTGATACTCAAGGACTGGCTCAGACCGCTCAGGGCACTGGCTGCACCTACATTTCCGCCACCGCCCAGGTGAACGCTGGTGGTCATCGATAGGGGCGAATCATGGCGACCGCCGGCGTCCTCTGACTCCGATGTGCTGCCGCCCGTTTTGGGCACGGGACTCGACTTGAAGTTGGCCTGGAAAAAATATTGAATAATTATTAGAAGTTATAATTATAAAAGACATTAAAAAAATAGTTTTTTAACAATTCTTTGGCTCAATAATTTTATAAATAAATATCTAACTAATATAAGTACTAAATTATGTATTCAGAAAGAGGAAAAGCCGAAGTGTTCATACCCTCACAGCTACAAGAAAAATGTATGATTCTCTGATGAAGATAAGTCGCTTTTCTAATATCCTTTTCAAGCTATAATAATCTTTATGAAATCATAACAATCTACTGGCAATATCAAAATATAATTAAGCTGCTTAAAAATACTTAAAAATCTGAAAAAAAATATCATAAAATTTGTTTAAAATGTTAAAACTTTTCAAAAAAGTATAAAACACCAACCACCCACACAGCACGTGAGGCACCCAGATAAAAAAAGAGAGAGAGACTAAGCAAATGAAAGGGAGAGCGGCACGTGCCGGGCCCACAAAAAACTTGACGACCACTGATAACGGCCAGAAATAGCTGCCAAAAACACCAGCGCAGCACTATTTGATCGCAGATCAGCGGCCACAGTTGATACCGCAGTCATGTGAGCGAGTGGAGCGTGTGCCCATCGTATCGCAAATGCCAAACATAAATGTTGATATTGTTTGTTTGTTTGTTCGCCTACAGCTGCTGCTGCTGCCGCCTTCTCTCGCCCACCGATAAGTGAAAAGTTTGGCAAGCTTATGGCAATTTGGCACGAAGGTCGAAGAAGAGGATGGTGTGCCCAATATAGATATCTGTAAGTTTGATTTGGGACACTGTTTACCCACTAACTGGGTTTTTCCAGATTTTATGAGGCAAAATGTTAAGTGATAAGGTAAACAGTTAAAAACATATCCAAAGTTAAATAAATTTTTGAAATAGTTATTAGTATTTAAACAAATAAGTGGCTAAAAATAGGGAATTAAGAGCTATAGATTAATCAATGACTTTTCTAGGAAATCTGGAATGGGATCCTATTTATCCTGAAAAAACAAACTACTAAAAATAAATGTTACAGTTCACTGCTTATCCATCCCAACTAAACAATCATAGGTGTTAAATGAATACTCGAAATAAATTGAAAAAATTAATTTAAAAATAATAACAAACAGTTTACAATTTTAATAACATTATTATGCTGTAACTAATAAGCATTTGACGCCTTGTTTGGGGATGTGAGATAATTTCTAATTAATTTTAATTGTCAGGCAATTAAAGTACACACCGTACTTTACCGCAAAAAAAGCAAAAACCATTGCTTTAAATTTCAAATGCGGAATTGCTCAGCGGACTGAATGACTGACTGACTGAGAGCTGGCAAATTGTTTAGGTATGTTTGTGGGAAACAAAAAACCAGAAACAGAGGTAATTTAATTACGAGGGCAAAGAGCTGGCCAATAAAACAATTAAATAAACACGGAAGGCTAGCTTGGGGGACCTAAGCTAATATTATATGCACAAGCCTGAATGTGTTAATAATCTTCTTTTTTTTAATGTAAATGGTAAAAAAGATGGTTTTATTCTCAATGGGATGATAAATAAATATAAATTCTGTTGGATTGTTTAAGCTCTTAATGAAATCATTAATTAATAAAGCCAGAATGTCTGTTAGTTTAATTTAAACATAGTCTAGAAATTCATTGAAAATTTAAAGCATATTTTTAAAATAAAAATCATTAAAAACCTATAATGTCAATTTTCTGGTCACTATATCACGTAAACGGAAAATTTAAACTCATTAATAAATATATAACCAGTTACTTTTAGATTGATTTTAAATCCTAAAACGATTCATCAGAAATACAAGTTGAACACTCTGCATACTATATTACGTATACGCAATCAAACTTATTAAGAACAGAAATTGAAAGCTTATCCTAAAAAGATTTTAAAAGCATTAAACACATAAAAACTAATTAAAAAGACTTTAACATTTAGTAACACAAGAAATTCAAATTCTCATAGCTCTGTGTACAACATGGCGTATACGTATTTTTTCAATATTTTAAAAATTAAGTATACGCAAGCTATGAATAAAGATATCTTAGAATAAAAATCAAACTTCTATAACTTCACCTAAACTGAAACCTCTATTTTAAATTGCTAAAATTATGAATTTTAATATTTATTTATGTTTGATTAGCCGTCAGTTGAAGTTAAAGAAGTTCTACTGTACATAAACCATGGGAGTAAGTTAAATGACTTTGATCGCTCACCTGAGAGTCCTGCGGGTAGTGCCTGTCCTGATGGCTCGAGGACAGCGAGTTATCACAGTTGGATGATGAGTTCTTACGTCTGCGCTTACTACTACTCAGCTGCTCCACCGGCGTGGTGGACAGCTCCCTGTCCCTGTCCCGCTCGCGTTCTCTCTCCCGCTCCCTTTCACGTTCTCTGCTATTGTTGCGCTCTCTATTGTTGTTGTTGTTGTTGCTGCTGCTATTGTTGTTGTTATTGTTGTTGCTGCTGTTGTTGTTGTTGTTGCCGGTACTACTGCTGTTGCTGTTGTTGTTATCCTTGTTGCTATAATCCAATTGCAACAGATCATCGCGACTATCCGTTCGTTCGAGAGTTCCACGCTCGCTACCACGATCGCTGCATCCATCGGCGCTAGCACTACGATTGGCGGCCGCTGCAACTGCTGCTGCTACCGCCGCTGCCGCCGCCGCAGCACTGGCACTGCCCACGCTCGGAGATCGTTCGCCGCCAGTGGGCGTTGTCAAACCCAAGGCGACAGCTGCCGCGTTTACGTTACCGCCAGCAGCCGCTACCGCTGCTGCAGCCGCCGCTGCTGCTGCTGCTGCCGAGCTGCGTTCGCTCATGCTGCTGCTACTGCGCTGCGTTAGCTCATCACGCAGATCCCTTTCGCAGCGGGATCGCAGGGAGTCGCGGGAGTCGCGCATCGCATCGGCTACACCGCCTGCGCCGCCTAGGCCGCCGGTATAATTACTCGGTCCACGGCCGGTCGGCGAACTGGCCGCCGAATCGCGCAGCTTGTCGCAGTCGGAGCGGTAATTCAGATTGTTGTTATCTGTGAGACCGCGCACCTGCAAAAGTCCCAAAAATAATATTTAGTTTATTATTAATTCATATCAAGTTATTAGTGTTTTTCATTTTGATACAATTTGGGGTATTCCCAGAATTCTTGATTAGGTAAATAAAAGGGAACTTAAATACTTTCATTTCAGAGTTAGCGCCTTCGATCCTTATACTATACTTTCCAAAAAGCAAAGCAAAATATTTTTTGACATTATAAGATAGTTTGCTATTTAAATTACACTATCTTATTACAAAGTCGTTCCATTTTCCTTGCTTTATCATTCTCAAGTTTAAATTAAAAATATTTTTGAAGTTTGTCTTTAATGTTATAGGATCTTAACGTCGTTAACTATGAAAGTTGTTAAGAATTTACTCTTTTTTAAGCTTGATTAACTTTAAAAAGAATTTAAACCCTCGATCAACACACACCTGCAGGCTCTCGGCCGTTTTGAGAAACATGGGCAGCGAACTCTGACCCACGTTGACCTCGCCCTTGTACATGAAGTCGAGCAGAGAGCGCATCTCTGAGTATCTGACATCTTTCAAGTAGATGATGGGATGTGGATGCTGGTTCTGTAGGAAAATCGTCTCGAAGTACGGACTGCAGGCTGACAGTATGGTTTGGTGAGCCTAAAAAACAAATATAAAATTAAATTAGTTTTTCAAATATATATTACAAGATAATTTAAAGACGCACCTTGACTGTTTCGCCTTCGCAGGCGAGCGTGACATCGCATAGCGCCTCCCGCTGCAGCAGCGAGGTTAGAACGCCGGTCAAATTTGTGGGATGATTGTTCCAGCGCAAGCAGAATTGCTGGTCCATCGCTCCTTGGTCAGTGTTGTACCTAAAAAATGGAAAAGAATTTTATTAATATAAGGTTTAATAAGTATTATTATTATTAGATTATATTAAATTATTTGGAATTTAACAAATGGCAAAACAAGTTCTTGTAACAAGGAAATGACTATTCAAGTTTCTTAAATTTAATTAACTTGTCTTTACTTTTGTCATAAAGACTTTGGTTATTCCCAAAACATAAAAATATAAATCAAAACAAAAGAATAATAAGCATTTAAAATTTTTATTTATTTTTAAAGAAAGAAACAAATTAAAGCTTTTTTTTTGGTAAAACCCATTTGATAACATCAAGTAAAAATGCCAAACTTTATAGCCCAGACTATAGTATTTCTCTTCGGTACGTTCTATTTTGTGTACTCAAAGCGGAACCGGAAACGGAAGCAATTTCGCTTTTCGAACTTGTTATCGTTATCGCCGATCGCCCGCCCAATTGTGGGCGTGCGTGTAACGTATGTGTATACAAGAAATACCAATGATAATTTGTCATTGAACACAATTGCTCATTACAATTGCCAAATGCTTGGGGCTGTTCTCAATTATTTATTGCATTTCCGGTAACCGATAACAAAACCGCACGTTGTTGTTGTTATTGTTGTTGGTTCTGTTTTTGCTGTTGCTGTTGCGGTGGCAAAATCCACCAACTCCACAAACTCGCACAAAACTGAACAGTTGCATCTGTATTAGAGTGTTAATTGCCATTTGGCCATGTTGCCGCCATGTTTGGCTGCTGGCTAACTGTTAATTACTCGGCCAAATACGACGAACAGCAATCCATGCAAATTTGCTTGACATGCCACCGGATAGAAGGGCTTGGTGTGGCATAATGGATGGTATTTTGAGGCTTATCTATCGTTAAATTTATTGAGCCCTCTCTTACTCTCACTCTCACACATCCACTTACACGCACTGACTAACTAAGAATAGAGTTTTATGTTGATATTTCTTTATTACAATTGCCTGGAATCCCACTAGCTGCCCCTAATCTTAACGGCCTTTGGTCAAAGTTCTGGTGTAGGTTAAATAGGGGGTAAGACAGAGGATAAGGGAGTGGGGCCTGTGAGGAATTTGATAAGAAGTACTTTTGTTTTTCGCTGCAATGCTGCTTGGATTCTAAATTTAACTACTCTGAGCTATTAAAGGGAGTTCTACGACTATTAAGTAACCTGGAAAATGCTGTAATTGAGCTTACAGAACAGATCAACCTTGTTTATCAGACAAAATTACACTAAGATAACTATTTAATGTGGTTCTTAAAGTATCTTTCTCTAAATAACTGTTTTTTTAAGTTCTTATATCAGAATATAAACATTTTTAAAAATATATATAAAAAACTGCCTAAAATTCTAGAACATATAAACCCTTAGTCTTTATAACCTAAAGTTAAATAAAAATAAAAATTTTAATATTTTTATAAAAATTAAATCAAAAATATTACAAAATTCTGCAGAATGTATATACTCCCAAGTTCTACAAATACCCATTAAAAAAAGAGGGAAAACGAAAGAGAATGAAAGCTTTAAGCTTTTGCCGGCGACGCTTGCCGCTTAACAAAATAAATAAACAAAACGTCAAAGAACTTTTTCGCAAACTGAAATGCTGACCGTGAGAAAGAGGCATTCAATGGAGTGAGTGAAAGAGAGAGGCTAATGCGGCAAGATAGAGAAGGGAAAAAGCAGAGAGAGAGAGAGAGACAGAGGAAGAGTGGGTGCGCGCGTGCGAGAGAGATTAGATCGTTCGGTTATATGTACTTATATGTATACTTTGGCAATAATAACAATTACAGCTTGTGTGCGTGTGGGATCCGCTGTCGTAAGCGTTTTTTATTGGCGATCTTTGGTCTCCCTTACTCTCTACCACCGACACCCACCCACCCTCTCTTGTTTTTTCTTTGTTTTTTGGAATGAAAAAACTAAAATCTCTTTTAAAGTAAACTTTCGTTTTCATTCGCCCACAACTTTTTGCATTCTCTTGTTATTTTTCTTTTTTTTTTTGTTAAAGGGTTTAAAAGTTTTTGTATTTGTTTATTTTGTTTTTTGCATTATTCAATTTGTATTTTGAATTTGAAAACATTTCGCAAGTCAAAGTTGTGCATTCAGTTTTTGAAATTTAAATTTAAGTGAATTGAATTTGTAAGTTTGCAGTTTGTTTTTGTTTTTTGTGTTATGATTCAGTCACGTGTTCTTCGAGATTTACTTTGTATTTGTTATACATTTTATTTTATTTATAACTTATTTATATACTTTCTCTCCAACTTTAGGTATTTTTATAGTTATTTGATAAGCCATAATTTATGATAGAACTACACAAAGTTCATAAATACTCCACCCATAATAAAGAAAGGGAAACCCAAAAGATATCTTTTTTGATTGTCACTCAAACCAGTTGAGACTGACTCACGGAAATGAAAATAAATTAGAAACGACAAAAGACTTTGTAAAGATTAAGTATATTTATCAGCTAAGTAAGAATTTTGTGAAATTTGTGTACTTTTTGGGTAATTACTATCAGTTCAGGTTTAAAGTCGAACTATTTAGTTTCACAATTAAATTAAATATTATATAAAACCAAAAACATTTTAAATTCCAAAAGAAATGCCCTAAAAAGTTCATTTCATTTAGCATTTCCTGCAATCCGGTTTGTCCGGCTGTCACTGAATAAACTTTCGTCGCCCATAAATCATTTTGTAAATATGAAATCTCTTTTAATTGTGTCATTCTAGCTTCATTTTTTTCTTAATAACTTTTTCTGGCCATTTATTTACAAAGTCGGTGAGAAGTTGAAATGAAAAAAAAAAAAAAAAAAAAAAAAAAAATAGAACGCAACGTAGTCAGCGCCGGCGCCAAAAAGAAAAAAAAAACACAAACCCAGCAATTTCGACGTATTGTGCTTTTTATAAATTGTTTCTTTTTTTTCATTCAATTTCGTTTTCGTTGACGGGCGGCAGTTCGCAGTCGGCGTAGAAGTCAACGTCAACGTCGACGCCGGCGCCGGCGTTGCATGCGATTGCAGTTTTTATTTACACTTGCGTTTTCAATGCAAATTTGCTATGAATGCAAACAACAGCGGTTGTTCTGTTTAATTAATGAGAACTTTTACTTTCAAACAAAAGTAGCGTCCGCCCGTCGTTGCTTACGTAAATTGTTTAAAAATATCACTTTTTTTTTTTTCTTGCTCGCTTATCAGCGCTGGTAGCAGAGTGGGGGCGGGGCATAGGCGGTACGATCAGCAAATTGCGCAATATGTTAAATGCCGCTCATCAGCTGAAACGTGTTGCTGTAACGCTTAGCGAATCAATATCAAGATGCAGATACAAAAACCCAAGATACTACAGATAAGCGGGAGCAGCAGCAACGGCCCAAGAAAACAATTTTAATGGGAAAAAAAAACATTTTGTCACGCGTCAACAGCAAACTTAGATAATCAACGCTAACTGCCAGTCACACAGTAGGCAAATAAAAGGGTTAGCAAAGTAACCGAATGTGTAGTACCCTTTTTATATGGAATGGTCGGGTTGAAAAGTAAGGTAAGGTAAGTTATATATTCAGCTGATTTTTAGCTAATCATAGAGTTCCTTATAATGACTTGGTTTATAATGCGGTTTTAATCGATAAAAAGCTTAAACAGTTTAACTTCTTGTAACTTGAAATCTTCCGTAAAAGAAATCTCTGTAAGTCGAACTATTATTATCGGAATAAATCATATAATGGTACCTGCTAAGTAGATTTAAAACTTGCTCTCTGTTATGATTTCAATCTTGCTTTCAATAACTAAAACTATATCTATAAGACAGATTTCTTACCATTAATGTAAACAAAACTTCGTATAACCCCATACTTGGTTTATCATAATATCATATCAAAACAGTATTAAAACTAAGATCTTGAAAGATGAGCCAAAATAAGTCGGATCTTATTAAATCTTATTAGTTATTACTTTAATATATATTTCTATATTATGTATAAAAGCAATTTCACACCAAAAATGTTTATTAATCTCAGTAAACCATTTAAAAATGTAATTCTATATAAAACTAAATAAAGAATATATATCTCCTATAACAAATATCTCCCTTAGACCCCCTCAAACCTCGCCTCTTAGCCAAAACACCTCCATCAAGTGTAAAAGTATGAAAAAAAAAGAGTAATATATACTTATGAGGCGCACGGGGCGTATCAGTAATGGCCTTCAACTTTCAGTTAGTGGCGCCTTATCGTGCGAGACGGCGACGCTGGCAGAGCAGTCGACTGCTCTGTCGCCGCTCAACGCTCAGCTGTAAGCGAAATAGTTTTTTTTTCCGCTGTATTTCGTTTTTTTTTCTGTTCAATTTACACGTTCTAAATAGTTTGCGCAAAGCCAAATGTGTGTGAGTGTGTAAGCGAGTGTGTGTAGTATCCGTGAGATACGCTCACACAGATACTCAGGTTGCGATAATAATTATAAATACAAAGTAGTTTGTTGATATTTGTTGTTGCTGCCTGCCGCTGACGTTTGACGTTTGTTGATCTTCTCGTTTTTTGTTCTTGTTGTTGTTGTTGTTGTTGCTAGTTTTAATTTTCGCTTTGCTGTTTATCTTTCGCTTTAGAACTTTACATGTTGGCGTAGGTTGTTGTTGTTGTTGCTGCTGCTTTTGCTGTTATTGTAAGCGTTGTAAATTTACCGTTGCGAGTTCAACGAACGCGAAAAAAAACCTGGCTAGAAATAATGAGCGCCCACATGGTCATTACATGATATTCTATATCCGTATCTGTCAGTGAAAGATAGCCCCAAAAATTCAGACAATTATCGTGGTGTATTTTTGTTGTTTTTTTGTTTTTGAAAAATATTTATCATGAGTTTTGGTAATTGGTTTGAAATTTCAAGGATGGTTGTAAAATTTATGTTTTTAAATAAATTTGTTTATGAATTTGAGAATTGTATTTTATCATTATGCTCTACGGGTTACATTTTTCTGGGAAACCTTAAATCGCAAATAACAAATTCTTCGAA